CCAGGCTGGTCTCAAACTACTGACCTCAAGTGATCTGCCCACCTTGGCCTCCCGAAGTGCTGGGAGATGTGAGCCACTGCACCCAGCCAATATAGTTTAGCTTTGAAACAAAGATGATGACAGTCTTTCCCAAAAACAAATCCCCTCCTTGCTTGAGGATCAGACCACTTTTGCCAAAACTAGTGAATTAGCCATGGATTAGAAATTGTGGCTCAGGAGTCATGCAGCCAGAGGCCACAAGATTCCCAATCTTCCCAATTGTTTCAATAGATGACTTCAGTGTTGTAAAATCTAAGATTGGTGTTCAAGGTATATTTCGGACCCTGAATTCTGATGGACCAGCTGGCACCACCCAGATTGATAAACTGGCTCATCTAGCTTTGTTGCTCTCACCCAGGAACTGGCTCAGTGCAAGAGAACAAGCTCTGACTCTCTGTGATTTTATCCCTGACCCAACCAATCAGCAATCCCTATTCCCTAACCCCTGTCTGCCAAACTATCCTTAAAAATCCCTAGCCTCTTCACTTTCAGGGAGGCTGATTTGAGTGATAACTCCAGTCCTTCTGCTTAGTTAGCTCCGTGTTTGTTAAACTCTTTCTCTGTTGCAAAATCGGCTATTCTTTGTTCATCAGCTTTTCTGGGCTGCAGGTAAGATGAACCTGTAAAGCGATTACACATGGGTACAGAGGAAAGGCCCTGTGAGGACAAAGAAAGAGTGCAGTTGTCTGCGAGCCAGAAAGAGACTTACCAGAAATCAAACCTGACAGCACGCTGATCTTGGACTTTTGCCCTCCATAAGTGTGAGAAAATAAATTTCTGTGGTTTAAGCCACCCACTGTGTGGTATGTTGTTAGGGCAGCTCTAGGAGACTGATATGAACTACTGTAACAAACGTACCTGCATATATAAGATAAAAAAGATACATTTCTTTCTCTTAGAGTAATCTAAGTTCTAGGCTGGTGCACAATTCTACTCCATTCGATTATTCAGGGGCTCAGGCTTTTCAATCTTGTTTCTCTATCAAGTTTTCAGTATTGTCATCACCTGCATTGCTAAAGGCATATTTCTATGTTGCACCAGACTGACAAGAAGAAGAAAACGTGTATAAAAGAGCAATCTCAGTCTCTTAAAAGATCTCTCTCAGTAGTGGTTCATACTCTGTTGTCATGAACTTTGTCACGTGAGTAGGGCAGGGAGACTAGGAAATGGAGTAAAGCTGGTGACTGATTGTATGACTATGGGAGAAGGGGAGAACAGATTATCTTGGACAACTAATTATTTCTACTACTGCCTGATCCTTTGGCCACCAAACATCTGTGTACCTTTCTTTTTATGTAAAAATACGCACAATCCCTCTTCAAAAAAGACAACCCTAAGTCCCACCAAGTTTTGAATTTAGACCAGTGCCTAGAATCTCTGGGTGATGAACAATTTTCTCCATCAAATCTGGATATACTCCTAGGATACAAAAACTAAAAGACAAGTTGTTTGCAAACTCAGCAGCACAACGACACACCCTTTATACAATCATGGACTAGGGATAAGATAATCGTATTAAAAACTCTCAATTGGAAACAAACAAATGAACAAACAAGTCAGTGGTTTACGTAGTGATGGGTCCTGCTGTGTAGAAATTGCTTAAATGCCCTAATCTGGCAGTTGAATTTACTTGATTTAACCCTGGTTCTGCTTTCTCAAAGGAGTTTACTGTCTATTTTCTTCCTGGAAAATATCCAAAGTGTCCTCTATAGGGACTGTGTCACTTTTGCAGCCGGCTCCTTGCTTGTACAAATTTGATGATACTACATTTGTTTTAAAGCTCAGTCACAGGTGTTTTCAGACCAGGCTTTGGTTCCTTTGGAAATACATTTCTCAAAAAGATGATAGGTTTCTACTGTATTCATTCTCAGCCACATTTGGCTGTAGCAAAATCCAAGGTTTTTCCCCCTAGCCTTAGTGTTTTCACTTGTTTTATGTCATTCTGCCTTGCTACCCATCATGGACCTCCACGACACACCCACTTGCTACCTTAATAGCTCTCTGAAACAATAAACTTGGATAAGAAGGCAAGATAAGAGCCTTAAAGTTTGGGTTCTGTGATCAGAAAGCTTTTTTAGCCTTCAAACCCTGATCCTTTCTATTGTTTTCCATTTCTGCCTGCAAACAGGCTAATTCTCAACTGAGCTCATCACTTCTTTATTATAACTTGCAAGCAATAAGAAGCTGTTCTTTCCCTTTTTTTAAAGTATTTATTTTTATTTTTTAAAATATATTTTATTATAATTTAGGTTTGGGGTACTTGTGCAGAACATGCAGGACTGTTGGTATAGGTACATACATGGCAGTGTAGTTTGCTGCCTCCATCCCTGCCACCTGTATCTGACATTTCTCCCCATGTTATCCCTCCCCTACTCCCACTTTCTGCTGTTCCTCCCTAAGTCCCCCCACAGCAGACCCCAGTGTGTGATGCTCCCCTCCCTGTGTCCATGTGTTCTCATTGTTCATGACCTGCCTATGAGTGAGAACATGTGGTGTTTGATTTTCTGTTCTTTTGTCAGATTGCTGAGAATGATGGTTTCCAGATTCATCCATGTCCCTGCAAAGGACACAAACTCATTGTTTTTTATGGCTGCATAATATTCCATGGTGTATATGTGCCACCTTTTCCTTGTCCAGTCTATCATCTATGGGCATTTGGGTTGGTTCCAGGTCTTTGCTATTGTAAACAGTGCTGCAATGAACATATGTGTGCTTGTGTCTTTATAATAGAACGATTTATAATCCTTTGGGTATATACCCAGTAATGGGATTGCTGGGTCAAATGAAATTTCTATTTCTATGTCCTTGAGGAATTTGCCACACTGTCTTCCACAATGGTTGAGCTAATTTACACTCCCACCAACAGTGTAAAAGTGTTCCTATTTCTCCACATCCTCTCCAGCATCTGTTGTCTCCAGATTTTTTAATGATCACCATTCTAACTGGAGTGAGATGGTATCTCAATGTAGTTTTGATTTGCATTTCTCTAATGACCAGGGATGATGAACATTTTTTCAAATGTTTGTTGGCCTCATGTATGTCTTCTTTTGAAAAGTGTCTGTCCATATCCTTTGCCCACTTTTGAATGGGTTTGTTTGTTTTTTTCTTGTGAATCTGTTTTAGTTCTTTGTAGATTCTGGATATTAGCCCTTTGTCAGATGGGTAGATTGCAAAAATTTTTTCCTATTCTATTGGTTGCCAGTTCACCCTAATGACTGTTTCTTTTGCTATACAGAAGCTCTGGAGTTTAATTAGATCCCATTTGTCTATTTTGGCTTTTTTTGCCAATGCTTTTGGTGTTTTAGTCATGAAGTCCTTGCCTATGCCTATGTCCTAAATGGTTTTACCTAGGTTTTCGAGAGCCAGTTGTTCAGTTTCCATGAAGCTGTGTGGTTCTTAGTTAGTTTCTCAATTCTGAGTTCTAACTTGATTGCACTGTGGTCTGAGAGACTGTTTGTTATGATTTCCATTCTTCTGCATTTGCTGAGGAGTGATTTACTTCCATTTATGTAGTCAGGTTTAGAGTAGGTGTGATGTGGTGCTGAAAAGAATGTATATTCTGTGGATTTGGGGTGGAAAGTTCTGTATATGTCTATTAGGTTTGCTTGGTCCAGGTCTGAGTTCAAGTCCTGGATGTCCTTGTTAATTTTCTGTTTTGTTGATCTAATATTGACAGTGGAGTGTTAAAGTCTCCCACTATTATTGCGTGGGAGTCTAAGTCTCTTTGTAGGTCATTAAGAACTTGCTTTATGTTTCTGAGTGCTCCTGTATTGGTGCGTATATATTTAGGATAGTTAGCTCTTTTTGTTGCATTGATCCTTTTACCATTATGTAATGCCCTTCTTTTTGTCTCTTTTGATCTCTGTTGGTTTAAAGTCTATTTTATCAGAGACTAGGATTGCAACTCCTGCTTTTTGTGCTCTCCATTTGCTTGGTAAATCTTCCTCCATCCATTTATTTTGAGCCTATGTGTATCCTGGCATGTGAGATGGGTTTCCTGGATACACCACACTGATGGGTTTTGACTTTTTATCCAATTTGCCAGTCTGTGTCTTTTGACTGGGGTATTTAGCCCATTTACATTTAAGGCTAATATTGTTATGTGTTAATTTGATCCTGCCATTTTGATGCTAGCTGGTTATTTTGCCCATTAGTTGATGCAGTTTCTTCATTGTGTCAATGCTCTTTACCATTTGGTACTTTTTTGGAGTGGCTGGTACTGGTTATGCCTTTCTATGTTTAGTGCTTCTTTCAGGAGCTCTTTTAAGGTAGGCCTGGTGGTGACGAAATCTCTGAGCAATTCCTTGTTCATAAAAGATTTTATTTCTTCTTCACTTTGGAAGCTTAGTTTGGCTGGATATGAAATTCTAGGTTGAAAGTTCATTTCTTTAAGGATGTTGAATGTTGGCTCCCACTCTCTTCTGGCTTGTAGGGTTTCTGACGAGAGATCCGCTGTGAGTCTGATGGGCTTCCCTTTGTGGGTAACCCGACCTTTCTCTCTGGCTGCCCTTAGCATTTTTTCCTTCATTTCAACCCTGGTGAATCTGACAATTATGTGCCTTGGGGTTGCTCTTCTTAAGGAATATCTTTGTGGTGTTCTGTGTATTTCCTGGACTTGAATATTGGCCTGCCTTGCTATGTTGGGGAAGTTCTCCTGCATAATATCCTCAAAAGTGTTTTGCAGCTTGGATTCATACTCTTGGTCACATTCAGGTACACCTATCAGACATAGATTAGGTCTTTTCACATAATCCCATATTTCTTGGGGGCTTTGTTCATTTCTTTTTACTCTTTTTTCTCTAATCTTGCCTTCTTGTTTTATTTTATTGAGTTGATCTTCAATCTCTGATATCCTTTCTTCTGCTTCGTCGATTTGGGTATTGAAACTTGTGTATGCTTCACAAAGTTCTTGTGTTGTGTTTTTCAGCTCCATCAATTCGTTTATATTCTTCTCTAAGCTGAAAAATATGGAATGCTTCATGAATTTGCATCTCCTCCCTGCGCAGGGGCCATGCTAATCTTCTCTCCATCATTTCAATTTTAGTATATGTGCTGCCGAAGTGAGCACAAGGAGCTGTTCTTTCTAGAAATTTTTCCTAGACCTGCCACTTCAGTAGGCCTGTGGTCTGCCTTCCAAATCATTCGAGGCAATAGTTTACCAGATGTTTTGCCCGGGTATGACAAATATTTGTGGGTTTCTCATCTCCGACAGACTTCTGTTGCCCTACTCATAAACCAATGTCATATTTTAGGTATTATAATGGTAGCATTCCATATATGGTAGTTTTTTCTGTATTAGGTTAAGGATAGCAGCTAAATAAAGAAGCTATAAAACACAGTGCTTAAAACAGATTGGAAAATTTTTCATTTCTCACATAATTATCTGTTGGTAGCTCTCTGCCATATAAATAATCAGGGACTCAGATTCTTTCTATGTTGTTTTTTTATTACCTCATGGGGTATTGTCTTCATTTGCAAGATTAAAAGTATATCTCAGGTTTGTCCATCATGTAAAAAGGAGATTCTGGAGGAGATATGCTTAGAAGTGGGCACATTTATGTTCTGCTTATATTTTAATGGCGAAAACAAAGCCACATCTAACTGAAAGGGAATCTGGGAGGTGTAGTGTGGGTAAGCAGCCTTGTACAAAGCTTCAGTCGTATTATAAAAAAGTGAGAACGTTATCAGCAGCCTCTGTTATGGGAGACAGTCTAAAAGCAGGGACCCTTGTTAAGAGGCTGCTGTAATCATAAGGTATGCAATGATCATGTCTTTGTAGAGTAGTAGTAGTAGTAAAGGTGCTGAGAAGGAGTTGGATTTTTGATATGTTTTGAAAGCTAGTAGAATTTGCTAATGGGTTGGATATGAGAGAAGGTGATGCTAAGATTTTTGGTTTGTGCACCTGAGTAGTGACGTATACTGAAAAAGGGAAAAATTAGAGGAAGGGCAGTTTTGAGATTGGGAAAATAAAGAGTTAGATTTTGGACTGATTAGACATAAGTAAGCAGGTCATGTGGGGATATATAAGCTTGAAGTTCAGGAATATTATTGAAGATATAAATTTCTGGGGCCATCTGTGTGTAGATGGTATTTAAAGCCGTGCATTTGTAATACCACCTAGAGAGTTAGTGAAGCTAAAAAAAAAGAAGGCAAAGATCTCTCAGAACTGAGCTTTAGTGCACTCCTGTGTTTAGAAGCCAAGGAGATTGGGAGAACCAACAAAGACTATTGACAGGGTGGCCAGGGAGGTAGGGAAAGAATTAAGAGATAAAGTTTCCCTAAATACAAGAGAAGAAGGTATTTCAGGAAAGAGATAGTGGCATCGTAGGTCAAATATGGGTATTTCAATGAAGTTGAAAATGATAATCAACCAGCAATGTTGAGTCCAACTGGTGACTTTGACAGAGTTGTTACATCAGATGGACTGATTTGAGGAGAGAATGGGACTAGAGGACGTAAGGAACAAACATGACCAAATTTTGGAGAAGTTTAGATATAAAGGGAAGTAGTGAAGTGGAATAGTAACTTGAAGGAAACTATGGGAACATGAGTGGGTTCTTTTAATATGAGAGATATTAAAACAGGCTATATATTCATAAGAATGATCCAGTAGAGAAAGAAACATATCACAGCGTATAAGAGGGAGTGATAATCATTGGAATGATGGTAAGCGATAGGATCTAGCATTCCGGTGTTGATCTTGATCTCAAATAGTAACACGCTTCACCTATTGTCATGAAGGAAGGTAGGGAAAATGAGTTATAGATACAAGTAAATTGATAGACACAGCAGTGGAAATGTGTGGACATTCTTTACTGATGGCTTCTACTTTAGCAACCACAGAGGAGGCAGGGTCCTCAGCTAAGAAAGCATCAGGAGAGAGGAACTGGAGGTTTGAGAAGAGATGAGAAGTTGTGAATTGTGGTCTAGAAGAAGAGGAGTGAATGAATTCAGCATACGTGGAAGAGTTGCTTGATATTCCTGATTATAGCTTTAAAGTGAAACAACCAGAAGAATGGAATATTTTTTCCAACCTTGTTTATCTTTCTGATTGTAGGTGCAGAGTAGACAAGAACTAGTTTACCAGCACAGGGATTTAACCAGGTGTGTCTGTCAAGATCCAGTCAGAAGACAGAAACCATACCACCAACTAGAACAGAGAAAATCTAAGATAAACAACAATACCTAGGTGAATGATGGTTATCTACTAGAAAGGGATACACAGAGACAGTGCCTGTAGAGAGAGACTGCATGCCTGCATGCCACTCACAGCACCAGAAATGTCTCTTCTTTCACTTCTAGCCCTGCACTTTCCCTCTAGCATTCTCTATGGGCAGAGCTTATTCTGGAAAAATGTCTGCAGAAACCAGCTCTGGTGTCACAAAGCAGGGCAAAGGAGATTGGGGTTTAGAATTGAGAGGCAACAACTTAATAACTAGTGCAACCAGATGAGCACAAGGTGGACAGCGCGGGCAGGAAAAGTGAGGTTGTATGCTAGAGAGCGATTATAATAATTATGGAATCTTATCTGGATGAGGAAGGAGGGAAGGAAAAGGAGGTGAAAGGCAATAAAAAGAAGCCACCCTTGTAACCTGCTGGAATGGCACTCTCTGGAAGTGTGCACGGTATGACCCGCACAACCATTCGTCAATGCTCTGGAATGCACTGCAAGACTCATTTGGATCTCAGAAAGACTGGAAGAGGGTTCTACATGTGAACAAATCTGATTTTTCTATGTCAGTGTTCAGAATTATCATAAAGATCTGCGAGATGAATCCTGCTGGAGAAAGTAAGTGGAGAAACTAAGTCGTGCTCAGGCACTTTCGTTTACCGTAAGGACCATGGAGAAGGCAAATTTTCACTTAAGATATTATTATTAAACATTGCAAAACCTAGGGATCTTTCAATACTTTTCCACTTTATTTCCTAAGCTATGAATAAGAACACTAAAAGATTCAGTTCTAGTAATTTGTATAATGAAACAATGAATGTATTATGTTTTCCAAACTACAGGAAGATTCTCACATTCCCCTTCTCCTTGGCTGCCTGCATCTCTTCCTCCTCCCCCCCTCTTGAGAATCATTGACCTAAACATATAAATGTCTAACAGGGCAATTCTCAGGGATCTGCAAGAGGCCACTCAGGAAGAAATCTGAAGTGTGAAGCATTTTACCCCACTAAAATCATACTAGTTACTGACAGCCAATTCTGCCTGCCAGTAATTATAGCCTGTCAGGGTTCACAGGCACTTGCATTTCACAAGGATGTGTGAATTGCACATGTCTTACATTTCTTAGTAGGGGCCTGCCCTACAGCAATGTTTTTACCAAGTGACAGTTTTCAGGGAGGTATTGGATCTTATTTAAGTGAAAAAATAATAATAATAGTTATTCTTCACTATAAGACCACAAAAGAGGCTGCAATTAATGAATTTGCAGAGTCAGGAACATTGCTCAAGGCATTAGCTCAGTTCGGTTTAGAGCTGTTTGTTTACAAGTCATTAGGAGACCCCAGACTCATTTGTGGTGACAGGTAGTCTTCATTCCTTTATCTGCTTTTTTTTCCCTCCTTAAACTAATTTTTTATTGTAGTAAGATATACATAACATAAAAATGACTATTTTAACCTACTCATTTAGATGTCTCATGGGTAAGCTGCTTTTTAATCTACCTGTGCAATATAAAATTAAGAGCCAATTACACCACCATCAAATAGAGGAGGGTTTTTAAAAGATAACTGGAGAGTAATATACAAGGTTTCCTAATCACTACACCTAACTGCAAAGAGGAACAAAGAATTTTTCATGAGGATTTGAACTATAATTAAAGACAAATAATCAACTATGAACTTTCCATTATTTAAGCAGTGTGTTCTCTGAGGCCACCAAACTTTTCCCAGGGGAAAATAGATTACTGTTTGCTGTAAATCAAATGTGTGTGGAAAAAAGGGCCTACAACGAAGTGAGAAATAAGGGAGATAAGACTCCAGGAAAGCAGAGAAAGAATTTCCGGGTCAAGAAGAGGTAGGAGAACTTTTGAAAGCTAAATGAAGAAGGATTTAACAACGGGGAAACCTAAATAAACATGAAATTGGAGGAGTGGAGAAGTGGGCTAAAAAGGTGATACAAGGATCATGTATGTAACCTGCTATGGAGAGTCCAATCAAAGACAATCAACTTCCAGCTTGGATTTCATTAGAAAATTCTTCATTCAACAGGGACAAATTCAGCTTCTATTTTTTTTTTTTTTTTTTTTACACATAACAGCTGATCCCTGGATGAGCAAGATATACCCAGAGTCAGCACCTTCACTATTGTGGAGTAACAATTCTGGAAAGAAGGTTGTGCATTGGGATGAATGCAGAGAATAGAAAGTGTTCTTGCTCTTCTAAGCTCATGGAATTCATTCATTCATTCATTCTTTACTGAAACTTTTTTTTTGGCATTTCCTAGGTTCCAGGCAAAAACACTTTTTCACGAGTGTAAGCAAGACCAATAAATTTGTTCTTTTATGGCCCTTATTATTTTGCTAAAGATAAAGACAATAAACACACAAATAAGCAAGAAAACATCAGGTAATAACATCTGTGGTGAAGAAATTACAGCAGAATGGTGAGATAGAGTACATATCTTCTTGCCCAAAGTGAATTATTAGACACTTTTTATTTTTCCTCCCTCTTTCTCCTGACATCTTTTTCTTTCTCCTTTGCTTCCTTTGCACATTTTCTTGAGCCCATATTATGTATCAGGCATATCTGGTTTATATTTTTATACTCCCTAAGCCTACTTGAGAGAAAAAGTACAGTATTTTGCACATAGTAGGCCTCAGTAAGTTGTTGGAAAGATTCAGTTGCTCGCAAACTTAGACTGCATGAAATGAAGAACATAAAATATCAAAAGAGAGGAAAGAAAAAAAATGAGCATAATTAACACAGAAACAGGTTAAAATTAGATGACAGTGAGCCTTATTGGCACAAATAATGACTACATCAATATGGCATTTGAAATAGCAGGACGCCATCATTTATCTCACTTTTGTGTCTCATCTGTCTTATGAATTTGGAGAAAGC